TACCCTGCGGACCAATAAATGCTCAAAGCGAGGACATAATATCTGCTGTGAGCCTGCGGGTCTGGGCCGTGCACCCAGATCGTAACCGCAGCCCAGGCTGACACCTGTGAAGCCAGGCGCTGCACGAGGCCCCTCGCGGGCCCTGCTTCGCCTAGGAACCCTGAGAGGAACGCACTGTGACCACAACTGTATTCCCGTTTCACAGAGAGGAAAATGGAGGCACACAGAGGTGCAGTGACAGGCCCAGAGAAGGACCGCAGGTGAGCCTCAGAGCTGGGGACAGACCCTGGCAGCACATCCAGGGAGCACATCAGACCATTATACCGTCCGACCCCTGCCGCCAACCGAGGGGCCACCGGACCCATGGCAGCAGGGGCTGCAGACTCTGAGGTGGGAGAGGAGCCCCCCCGCCCCATACACACGTCCAGGCTGGGAGGGAAACTGAGGCCCAGAGGGGAAAGCCATGAGGAGGAAGAAGGTGGAAAGGAAGGGCAGACGGCCTGGGTGGGGCGGGGCCACTCCATGAAGGATTCGGTTAATGATTTCTGCTCCCTGTTCTTATCAGAAGGGCAAAGTCCAAGGGCAGCAGCCAATCAGTGGCCCGCTGGGCTGTTACCCAGCAGCCTCTGCTGCCAGGGCCCCCCTAGCTCTGTAAGCCCTTGGGAGTCAGGGAGTGGGGGCCAGGTCTCCGGGAGGAGGCTATTCTGCCCAGAGCCGCCTGTCTTCTCCCCAGACATTCTGCTTGGCCCTGCTTATGGCTCCAAGGGGCCCTCTGCCCAGGCCCCCAGACTCAGGAAAGGCCCTGAGGCCAGCAGGTGGGAAACTGCCTGCTCCTCTCCCCAGCATTGACACCTTAGCCAACTTCCTGGGGTGCCCCCCGCCTCTGTTCACATAACTATTGTTGCCTCCATCGACCCCGAGAACATTTCCTGCTCCTCCCCACCATGGCTCTGCACTGGGCGTTGGGGACAAGGGGATGAGTCAGACCCCCCACTACCATTTCCTTTCCAACTGGACTCAGGACCTGGGACAGGAGTCCTCCCCGGGGCTCTGGGTGGACCCAGGAGGCACCCCATCTCATCTCCTTGGGAGTCAGGTAGATGGCTGCCTCCCCCATCTACCTACTCCCTGGGTCAGACAGGCTGACATAGGACACAGTACCATCCATCACACAGCCCCAGCCTCCTGTCCAGGGTGGGCGTCTTCTTCCACAGTCATCAGTGGGACCCCTTCCTGCCCTCAGGAGGCAGAGATGCTAGTCCCCATTGGGAGGCCACCCTCCCCCAAGGTGCCGGTGGCAGGAGAGACAGCAGGAGGCTGGGTGTCAGCTCTGGAAAACACTGGCTAAGACCCTTCTCTTGGATCCTGGGTAAGGGGGCCAATGCCACCCCTGCTCCCATTCCAGAGTTAAGGAAGGGGTGGCTTTCAAACCAGGATCCTAGTGTTCTGGAGGGCTGTGGGGAGCTCATCCCACTGTGCCCAGTGTATATATCCCATTGGGAGGTCATGAGTTTGTCTTTTTTTGTGCGTGAAAAAATCACATGGGAAGCCCCATCTCTGGTCCAACGTACCTGCTCACCCAAGAAGGGACAGGAGGCCAGAGAAGGGAAGTCACCAGCCCAAACTGCCCATCAGGTCTGGAAGGGGTGAAAACTCAGCTTCCCATTGCCAGCCTTGGTGGGACTCTAGAGGCTGCGTGGAGGTCCCTCAGCCTTTCGGTGGCCTTTCTAGTACCTGACGGAAGCCCAGTTCCCCTCGGTCTCTTCCTCCACACCTGCCTGCTTTCTGGGGGTCATTGGCTGCTCACTGAAGCCCCATGTGCCCCCGGAGCCAGGGGCCGGCCTCTCCCCTTTCCAAGCCCCTTCCCACGGCTGAGACGAAGCTCATCAGAGCTGACGGCATCATCAAGACCTCCTCCTGTCTTGCAGGTGAGGGAAAAGGGTCCAGAGCGGACGAGAGCTCTGCACAGGGTCACACAGCTCTTGATGTCTGAGCCTTCACCGAAACTCTAAGGTCTGACACTGCCTTGCCCCTGTCCCTGACCAGGCTTTGGGAGTCCAAGGCCTCAGCCCATGAAAGCGATGAGGAGTACACCTGCCACCGAGACCCTGTTACCTGCTGGGAGCCAGTGCATCCTGCCTGGAGGGTCCCCTCTCTGCAGGCCCTGTGCCCGCCGAGCTGGGCAGCTGTAGCCTCCCTCCAGGGGATTAGCTGGGCAGTCACGGGGGCCCGGCTGTACCAGCCTCGAGGGGGCCGCCCTGTCCCAGCCTCCCACCCAAGGCCCAAAGCGCCTTAGCCCCCAGCCCACCACTCCGGGGTGGGCACAGCCTGGCCCACCTGCACAGGGCTGGACCAGGATATATGCCTGGTGTGCCTAGAGAGTACGCCATATCAGATGAGGGGCCCTGATGAGCCCCAGAGTGGAAAGCATAGACCCTGCCTCCTGTACCCACTGTCCAGAGGGAATGACCAAGGCAGAGTGGGGACCAGATGAGAACTCAGGTGTCCCCAGCCCCAAATAGAGAGCACACACTGCTCCTACACCCTCAAGAACAACACATCCACATGCAGGAAAGCACAGCTTCCTGCCCCCGGCACTTCACACGTACACTCATGAGCACACTCAGACCTCGCCTCTCCAAAGCACTCCCTAACACCCACACTGGGTCCCAAACAGCACTGCCCACCGGACTCCCTGCCAGGCCATCCCCTCCCATGTGGCCCCAGAGACCCCAGCGCTAGCACCCACCCCACCTTCCCTCCATCTCAGGCTCCGGGAAGATTTCTCCAGACCCTGGCTCCCTCCCGGCCCTGCTCAGGCGGGCAGCCGCATACCCCCCTGTTCCCCAGACATTCTTGAGTCTCCTCTTATCTCTCTGGAGGGAGCAGCGTAGCCTCCCCGCCAGGCCAGCCGCATGGCTGAGCCGTGGCGTCAGCCCCCACCCCCACGGGCAGGAGGGAAGGTTTGGCTCAGGAGATGGGGAACCTGGGCCAGCCAGGCCCGCCCCTCTGCCAGGGCCCAGGGTTCTGGAGGAGGAGGCGTCGGGATATCTGCAGGAAGCAAGAGGGACTGGCCCACAGGTCATCTGGGGTAGTAACAGGCTCAGGGCACCCCAAAAGAGTATATCCCAAGCCAGGACTGGTGTCCCCTTCCCACCTCCCCAGGAGCTCCCAGCCCCTATAAGGCCCCTTGAGGGCTCCTAAAGGAGGAAGTGTCTGGGGAGGACAAGAGGCCCTAGGAGCCTCAAATGGGCGAAATACCTCAGGATCAATCATTTAATCTAGCTCAAATCTGACTTCTTGGGGCCTAGGTCTGTTAGGGTGTCCAGAATCCTGGCATGGGGAGGCCTGAGGCTTGGGGATGCCCTGACTTGGGCTGCTCAGCAAGCAGGAGTGGACAGAGCCTCCTGCTCCCAAGTCACAGGGAAGGAGTAACTGAAGCAAAGAGGGCCTTCTTCTCTCCCTCATGGGACTCCGAAGGGGTCTGGGCACTGGGCTGGACACTGGGGCCCTGATTCCAGCCCTGTGGCCCAACGGTCCCAGCGCAGTGCCCCATAGGCAACCCCCACCCCAGGGTGGAAGGCTCTGAATCACTGAGATCTGGGTTCTGAATGCACTGGGAAGCGTATGGGCTGAGGGACCGGGGAGAGGGTAGGGCACAGGCTGAGGACCCTAAGTTGGTGGAAAGGAGCACAAAAGGGGTCAGGGAACCTGCCTAGATGCTCCGGTGAGGGTCTGAGCAGCAGTGTGGGCTGGGAGACGTCAGCCTGTGCCTCTGCCTTTCCCTCCCACACTCTGTCCCATCCCTCCAGAATCCAGCACCCAGGATGAGGGGGACAGCCCTGGGGGAGGGGCAGAGGCTATTCAGGAAACGAACGGGAGTTGGTCAGATGTAGGAGGAGACCTCCCAAACCATTGTGTGTGTGTTTGGGGGCGGGGGGTGGAAGTATAGAAAAAAATATTGTAGGGTGTGCGTAGATCCCAGCCCTGCCATGGGGAGGGTCCTATTAGGGTCAAGGTGAAGGGGCGAGGTCACTCCTGGGGTGAGGAGAATGCCAGAGGAGGCAAAGCTCCAGGCACAGGTGTGGGCAACAGAGCCCGGAGGAGTCTCAGAGGGCTGGCAGGATGCAGCTCACAGCTTTTGAAGGGTCCCCCGAGTGCAAGGACGGTGGTGGCTGGCAGCGGGGATGCCAACTTCAAGGAGTTTCCAGCCCGAGGAGAGCATTCGGAGGGCAGGGGTTGGGAGTGGAGGAACCCAGCCCACGGAGGAATGCTGGGGAGGGGTTCCCAGCCTCAAGTAGGGAGGGGTAGCTGCTTCAAGGGGAATTTCAGCCTTGGGGCGGGGGGAGCATCCTTATGGAAGGTGGGTGACAGTCTTGAAGCAGGTCCCAGTTTCAGGAAAGAACAGTGGGTCTCAGCTCCTAGGTGTCAGGATGGGGAGAGGGGGCCAACTTGAAAGGCACACAGGGTACCTGGGTCTCTAGGTGGGGGTCTCAGCCTCTGGGAGGCACACTGGAGGCTGGTGCCAGCCTGAGAGGCATGGAAGATAGTGCGCTGGGGTTCAGGGCCTGGAAGAGGTCTGGGCCTGGATGGGGTTCCAGAGAAGCACAGTATAGGATCCCTAGACTGGGCTGTAGGAAGTGCACTGGAGGCGGGAGGTGTCAGAATTTAGGGGTGTGTGCGCTGCAGGTCCTGGAAGGCATGAAGGAGGACCAAGTGTGGAAAGGGCTCAGCTCCGAGGAAGTTGTGTGTTGGGAGACAGGGAGCCCAACTTTAGTGGAGGTGCATGGTGACCTCCGGGAGTCTCCCAGCCCTGGGAGCCAGCATTGGATGGCTGGTGCCAGCTTGCAGGAAGGCCCCAGCCCAGAGGAGACGACACCCGGGGTCCCAGCGTGGTGAAAGCACAGTCGGGGGGGTCCCAGTCCCCGGGGAGATCGCCGGGGGTGGCGGGGATACCCAGCGCGAGAGGTTGGCCGCCCTGCCGGCCCGCAGTCCCTCACCTTCGAAGAAGCGCTGCAGCGCCTCCGTCTCGTCCACCACCTCCATGTCTGGCCCGTCCCGCCTGCCCGGCGTGCACTCCGCCCCGGCCCCGCTACAGCCCGGCCCGGGGGCGCGGCATCGCCGGCGCTGCCCGCCCT